AAACATATCCTGAGCTGCATTCAAAGCAGTATCCAGCAAGGTGACAGAGGAGGTTCTGTACTTCCACTCTGCTCTGGTGAGACCCCACCTAGAGTGCTGCATCCAGCTCTGGGGTCCCAACACAGGAATGACACCAGCCTGCTGGGGCTTTCCTATGAGGAAAGACTAAGAGAATCGGGACTGTTCAGCCTGGAAGAGAGAAGGCTTTGTGGTGACCTAATTGTGGCCTTCCGGTACATGAAGAGAGCCTACAAGAAAGATGGAAAGAAATTCTTTATTAAAGAGCATGTAGTGACAGGATGGGGGGAATGGCTTCAAACTAAAAGAGAGCAGGTTWGAATTAGATATTAGGAAGAAATTCTCTGCTGTGAGGGTTATGAGGATTGGAACAAGTTGCCCAGAGAAGCTGTGGATGTCCCATCCCTGGAGGTGTTCAAGATGAAGCCGGATGCGATTTTGAGTAACCTGGTCTAATGGAAGGTGTCCCTGCCCATGGCAGGAGGGATGGATCTTTAAGGCTTCTTCCAACTCAAGCCATTCTATGATCTTGTGGTTCTATGAGTCTATGCTCTTACAGAGAGACTGTAGAAATTATATGAATCATTGYATTTTATGCTGTGCAGCTCTCGCAGAAATTTTCTCACATGTTCTTGAAGGATGTTAAAATAATGTTCTAAGTAGAGCTAGGCAACAGTTTGTTTATATAAAAAAATAAAAATTTTATACTTTTTAGAATCTGAAAATTCTGCAGCCAATTCAGTGAAGCTTTTTTGGGTAAACAAGCCTTTAGATTCAAGCTGGAWCTTCAAGTGGGGAATGAAGGGAGGAGACAAACAGACCTGAATAATGTTCACTGAAATAAAACATATCTTGGTGTCAGGACATCCCAGTTTACATGTGGGGCCTGAATCATGGAAAATGTGCCTTTCTACTTGATTTTGGGGGTTATTTTCTTGGTTTGATTTAGTTTAGGGAGAGAAACGGGAATTGTTTGTTTTCTTCACTGAAAACCTGCTGTTAGTCAAGATTTTTTACGAAGGACAGAAAAAACAAAAAGTAATTAAAAAAAAAAAGAAAGAAAAGAACCCCCTTGTACTGGAAAGTTTCACAGGACATGAAAATTATTTCCTGCTTTGCCCAAATAGTAAAACCTGGCAAAATCTCCACAGCCGCTCTTGAGTGTCTCCCTAGTGCTGGGAGTTAAACACATCAGAGAGAAAGGAATGCAGCATGAGTAACATGATGAATATTCATGTCCTGGATGTGGGTCTTGGAGTCAGCAGAAGTGAGTTTCTGCCAGATGTGATGGCTCAGCCCAGACGAAGAAGACTTTCAAAGAATCCTGTGGAAAATCTCTTGTGCTCGTACCGACTGAAAGAGCTCAGAGCTCTTCCAGCTGATGACTCAATAAAATGATTTTTGCTTTAAATTTACGAAGAACACAGCTGGGTTTAGTGTGTGTGTGCAAGCCTGTAGATGTGAATGAAAACAAGCAGAGAGCCCAAGTAAATATTTTTCTTCATCCTTTGAGTGACTCTGAGGTGCTTTAGACATTTACRATGCTTTTTTCTTCTGGTACTAACACATCTAGTGCTCTTGGCAACCTCTAGATTCAAAACAAGATTTTTACTTGCTTTCTTCACTACCTCCTTGTTATTTATTGTTAACCTGTATTTCAGACCAGTAAGACTGAATGTTAGTGAGTGTGGAAACAGCTCTGTTGGCTGACCTCATGCAGCTTCCACATCTCAACATGTGCACAAAGACAGCCCTGAGCAGGGTTGGCAGCACTTGAAACTGCAGAGCCTCCTCAGCTTTGCCTGGTGGAGCTCTGCCTTTCCCCTCTGCTAATCATTTCCTGCTCCCTCCACCCSCTTCCAAGTGTGTGGGCCTAGAAAGTACTGGCAGTCCCTCAGTTCATTGTATGTCTGGGTAACATATTATTTACCTTACAATAGTTGCAAATGGCTCCAGTTGGGACCAGGCCTGACTTCTTTTCTTTTGTTTGTTTTTCTGCTTAAACACTGAACAAATAAGAATGAAAAGTTTTGGGTCTAAAGAGATCACAACCATGAGCTATAAGGGTGGCTGGGAGAAAAAGAGCCTGTTAAAAAGCAGGGGAAAAAAATATGAAAGAGATGGAGAACAAGTGAAAAAGTGCAAGTTTGGCTTTRTTCTCACATCTGCTCCTAATAGTTTTTTTAAACACATTTCTTAATTTTTAGCATGTTAAGCCACTATTTCTTATGAATTGATATCAACAATAATGCTGGAATCAGTTGATGTGTGACACCATGTACTGTAGGCAGAACAGAGAACCCTGTTTCACACAGAAGCACTGTCCATCACATTATTCTTCTTATTCTGGCACAATTGGAGGGAAAATGTTTGAATAACTTGTTCAGTGATCTGTCAGACAAACTGATCTCGTATATTAACTATCCCATATTGTTTATCCACATGGACATAAGGACAGGAGCCAAAAGAGATCAAAAATTTTTCAGGAAGARGAAGCAGAAGAATTTAACTTTGTGATCTGCCTTCATAATCCTTTCATAACAAATAAGAAAAATTAAAATGCACTCYACAATTTAATGCATGGTGGAAAACTGGTATCTCAATAAAGACCTCGATTTTCTCAATATGATATTCTACCTCATGGAGGTAACAACGCAATCCACCTTTGAAAAGCATGGAATGCACCATTGTGAATAGGCTTTGCTAACATTATTGGGGTTGTTTTAAGATAAACTGAATAAGACTTCTAAGAGCCCACTGGTCACTTATGATAACAGCATCAGAAGAGGAACAAAGAAAATGTAGTGGTTTAATTAGATGAAAGCTTTGTGTGTACATAGACACTGCAAAAATAAAGAGAAAGAACTTATACTCTTGAAAAATGACAAAAAATGCATTTTTTCCTAGCATAATAAAGACTTACTGGGGTATATTATTATGATTTCAAAAATACTAGAAGGAATATTGATTGTTCATTAAGGACATATGGGGAAAATGAGGAACGGTGGTTTAGAACCACTATGTAAATCTGAKGACAAACAGTTAGCAATGGAAAGGGGAACAAACATGGGGACAGAAATGTAGGAGGAGGCAGATCACCAGGAATACCTATCAAGAAGATGAAGCTTTATATATGCTGTCCATCAAATAGGCAGTCTGCTTGGGGGATTTTAGTCACCCATTTTGTCATTAGGAAAATAAACCAACATGATGTGGAAGGGTGGTAATTCTGTATGTACTGGAAGCAGTGAGAAGGAAGAATTCAAGGAAAAGAAAATGAAAATAAAAATTGTAGGTAACTTAGGTGAAAATGACTGTGAAACTGTGAATTTCATGATCTTTAAAAGGGAAGGGAAGGGAGTAGCAAAAATGCCAGTGAAATTCAAGRAGCAGCCTTCATACATTCAGAGACTGGAAGATAAAACTGAAAAAAGGGATGAGACAAGAAACAAGAAACAAACAAAAATACCCCAACCACAACCAAACAACAACAAATACACAAGGAGAGACAGCATTTTCCTGAACAATAAAGATTTGGGCATGAGCTATCTCAATGTGGAGAGAGAATGGCAAGCCTAGATGGAGATCTGCTGGTAAAAATCACAGGTTTTTTCAGTACCTTAAACCTRAGAGTGTCACACTAAGAAAATACAAACTAACTAGAGTAACAAGGATGAGTATGAAAGAAGAGCACAGGCATGTGGGGCCAAGAGAAAAAAGGGCACTGTAAGGGATGAACAAAGGGGTGTGAGTCACAGTCATGCTAAGTAACAAGATCAGTAGTAAAAAGAAGACAAAAAGGTGACAGCTGAATTAAGGTTTAATCCCTTCATCAATAAGAAGGTCAATGACAATCATGCAGACATCATCTTTAACCTCAGYAACACAGGAATGAGATCTCAGGGTAGAACAGGGGAAGAAAAGATTAGAGAAGAGTATTTACATAAGCTGAATTGCTTTAGATCAACAAATTTKGATGAAGTTTGCCCTAGGGGACTTAGACAACTGGCTGAAACTGTCCCCAGGGACATTATTTGCTATCTTATGCAATATGAAGAGAGCAGGTCTGTGTCCAGAAGACTGTAAAAGGCAAACTTTGAACCAGTTTTAGCTGGAAAATGAAAACAAATATGACACTAGTGACCACAATCAAACATTGCCAGGGTTTCCCTAATATTTTGACACATTCACTATCACTTACAACCTAATTTAACTTGGATGCCTTTTTCACAAGGGCTGCTTCAACTCAAACAGAAATTACAGGGAAATCTGTAAAATCAAGTATGTAGAATGGAGAATTCTTTACCTGGGAAACTATCAAATATTTGGGGTGTTGCAAAAGGGGAAAAAACAAAATCAGGGCAGTAAGTCAGTGCAATGAGATAATCATCCTGTCTCCATGGAAACAAGAGTGTTGAGGTAGTACTCATAAAGTACAAGATACATTTTAAGATATTTATCATGGTTTAATGCAAAGAAAAATGTAGTGAAGGGTGATTCATCAGAGATGGCAATGCAGTGATTGGAATGYGTGGGCCCAAAAATAATACCTAGCACTATCTCAGTCATTTAAAGCCTCTCTTGATCTTGCAATTAGTGATTCCACTCCTCTACAGAAAAAAGTATCATTGTCGCTATAAGCAGACGTGTACTATCTTTCTAAAGAACACAGTAGATGAGTGATAAATAATTATCATATTTTTGAAGATCAGGGTTTTCTTAAGTCTTTGGTATTACTGAAATTCCATGATAAAAATAAAAAAGTTCTTAGAATAATCTCTATTCATGTTTTCTTAATGTTTTTACCTTTTTCAATTTTTTAAATTAATTATATTTAAAAATGGAGTTACTACAAGATTTGCTATTCTAAGCACTCTTGTTTTGACATCTTAWTTTTCAAAATTAGCTGGTTATTTACTTGTAGTGAATAGAAAATTAGAACAATAATATATTGGGAAATTACTTCTATACCTCACAAAAAAAAAAGTAGAAGTGATTTGGGGTTTCAGATGTAAGATAAGGAAACCTTAAGCTGCAGAAATATAACTTGTTTCCGAGTTAGTGAAATGTATTTGAACTTTTAAGTACAGGCTATGAGTGTAAACACTCCAAGTATCTCTCTTCTAAGAAGGAGTCTGAAAAAATTGGTGTTTCTCTGAAGGAAGACATTTTGCCTCCTCAGGATTTCCAAATGGGCTACATTAAAGCATAAGAGTCATGGAAACAAGAGGGGCTTTATGGTAGCTAGAGCTGATCAGCAGAACATGTATTCCCTTCACAAACATTCTTACCCAAGTCAAAGCTCCTTTTTCTATTTTTTTTTTWAATTTAATATCATTTTAGGGACTGTGCATGTTATCAGAAAATTCTGGAAGTACATTTAGAAATCACCCAGATTTTAACGGAAACAGTGTTTTGATTTTAAGTTTTGAATATTCATAGCAAAATAATATTGATTTTAAGAAGCCCATTTTCCTGGTACTTTTTTCTTCAACATGTTTATTTTGTCAGACAAATATTTTCTTCAAGTAAAGATAAATTCAATGAGGAACCCATTATTTTGTTGTTTATTCATTTAATATTACCACATTTGTTAAAAAGCACTATCTGCATCCTTTTGGATGTTCTGGCACTTTCCTTCTGCTGAAGTCATGAAAGTTGACCTTCCAAAAAGTGACTGGCTTCTGAGAGCCACTGCTGCCAGCTCAGCAGAGCATCATACAACACATGCCACCTGTGAGTGCAACTGAGAATGGGCCAGAAATTATTTGAAGCTGTCTTGTACCTCTCTCCCACACTGACTTGAAAGTTCCTTTGTGTGTGGCCTTTTCCTGCTTGCAAAGAGCCGGGTAAACCTTGTCCCCKTTGAAGCAGAGCAGTAAATGTGGAGGTCAATGACAGCAGCCCACTGCCCCAGCTGTACATCTCCGACTCACCCGTGTGCCCTCTGACAGCTCTTGGCTGCTGTTCCTTTGGGGGCTTGGATTTATCCTAAAAAACATTGGAAAGTTACTTTGTTTTCAGGAAGTGGTGAGTTTTAGCCTTTTTCAAGCAAACTTCCAGTCATACCTTCCCCCAAACCAGGATGCTGTTTGTGTTCAAGGCATGGTTTACACACACTGTTCAAACCCAACAGACCTATTTCTGTATATTTTCCCTTTCCATTCAGCTGCCACCTTTTGTTTCATGAAGTATCTCTTCATAGCATAGTTCAGATAAAATATTTTATCTGGCTTAGGAAATTTTCCAGAGTGTTTTTTTCTTTAGTACTAAAACCCTCTTGTCTGATAAAAGCAAATACAGAAATCTGCAAGTTTGTGTGTCTTGTACTTCTTGTATGAACTTCGTTTGACTGATGTTTGTATGGCTTTATCTAATGTAAGCCAAAGGGGACAACTCCATTTTGGGAGAGAACCAACAACTGTATAAAGAGATAGCAGATTCCTTCCAGCAGTTTGCTTTGATTTGTGAAAAAAAGCTTAAATGCACACATGCTGATTTTGGAGATCAGCACGTGAAATGTCTTATTTAAGTTCAAGGTAYTGCTCTGTATTCATAGGAAATAACTAAAAAGAAAAATCACAGAGCTGCAAAATACAAATKAAAATCAAATTTGTAACCAGAAGATCTGCTGATCATCCTTCTCACAACCTTAAAAAAATATATGTGGAAATTCTATATTSTCAGAAAATCTCTTATGTCCAGCCTATTGTCAGAATGAGATAATCTATTTACAGTAACATTATCCTAGAAAACTCCAAAATTACAAGGATTTTCAAGAGATGTAGGTATTTGTGACATCCCAGAGTGCTGCACCCTGGGGTGGCTTCAGGCAGAAAGGAAAGCCTGAGGGTGTTTGTAATACTTAGAAAGTAGGGGGAAACAGAGTGGTTTTAATTCTTCATCTCACCCGACAGATAACCTGCATCTCAAAACAGTTGACACATTTTTCATCACGGATCCTCTGTTTCCGAGCTTCAGTTCCACAACTTCATGTAGAATATTATGAACCTTGCTGGTTTCCAGCATAATTTATCATCCATATTCTGAGTGTCTTTATCTGTCCATTTGGATGGTTTCCCTGCCAATGGGTAGAGGAAGGGAAAGTGTGAACAAAGATGACAGCTCTGAGTAGTGGGGGAATCAGTATGACAAGTCCTGCAGGAATGCCGTGTTTAGGGGATGATGAGGGAGATAAGGTATATGCGAGATACATGACTAAGTAGGTTCTGTTAGAAGCAGAGCATCTCCAGAAACTGGCAGTCTTGTTCTGGAGGCCAGCCTGCAAGATCTGCACTCCTCACACATCCCACCATACCTTTTCTCTAAAGAAGGCTCTTTAACACCATTTACAATGTCCTTTTTCTTGAACAAACTGATGCAAAAGCTGTGTGCTTGTCAGTCACTCTGTCATTCAGACACAGCATTGCACAGGGAGTTTCTGAAGGGCTGATAGGCACCTTGGCTTATACAGGCACCAAGAGGAAGGTTCCAAGTGCAGCAGGTAAAGGGTCACCTCAGGACTCTGAATCGCCTTTGGAGGTACCTTTCTCCCTGCAGAGATCTCTGATACCAATATAGGATAGACAGATGTCTAATTTGGGCTGCCAAAATCAACTTGGTGGGGTCAGYCACCTTGATCTCAGCCATCAAGTAATGAAATGAGACAGCTAAAGTGGCAAAGGAAAATCTGGCCTAAAACCTATTGACCAGCAGCGCAGTATTCACATACTCTTAATAACCTGTCACATAACGAGTTGCCCAATTTTCTGGAGAGACATTCTAGTGCTTTCCCATGAATTCACACATTTTATAATTTTAGAATAATTCAATCCCTTGAGCCTCTCTGTCCCAACAGTTAAGAAGTTCTCCTTGAAGRGAAAATATTCACCTTCAAATGCTATTCTTCAGCCCCTCTCTAAAACATATTCAGTGCTTAAAATGTGGTGTCAGTCCTTCACCTTTCCATAGATGTATCTGGGTGACATGCCACTGTTCAGAATCTGTTTTGGTTCAAGACATGGTGCTTACATTACACAAGAGGGATGGTTTTGGCTGGGGTAGAGGTAATTTTTTCCACAGTAGCTGTTATGGGGCTGTGTTTTGGATTTATGCTGGAAACAGTGCTGATAACACAGGGATGTTTTTGTTATTGCTGAGCAGTTCTCACCCAGTGTCAAGGTCTGTTCTGCCCCTCACACCACCCCACCTGAGAGGAGGCTGGGGGTGCACAAGGAGTTGGGAGGGGACACAGCCAGGACAGCTGATCCCACTGACCAAAGGGACATTCCATGCTCAGCATATAAAGCTGTGTGAAGAAGGAGTAAGGGGGGGACATTTAGAGTGGCAACAAGTCACAGTTACGTGTGATGGAGCTGTGCCTTCCTGCAGGTGGCTGAACACCTGCCTGCCTCTGGGAGGTGATGAATGAATTTATTTTTCTTTGCTTGTGTGTGTGGGTTTTCTTTACCTATTAAACTGTCTAGATCTCAACTCGTGAGTTTTCTCACTTACTTTTCTGTTTTTCTACCCCATCCCACTGAGGGAAGAGTGAGCAAGTGGCTGCGTGGTGCTCATTGCCAGCTGGGGTTAAGCAAAAACAACCAAATTGTACATAAAAACAGTTACTAAGTAGTAAAATCAGTCTGGCATACCGGTCCAAGACATACAGTTATGCACAACTCTTGAAGGCTGAAAAACATTATTGAAAAATAATCACAGTCCAGATTATAGACATAGGTAAATGATCTATTTTGCAATAAAGTAAAAAGAAAAAAGACAAATGAAGATCAGCCTTGTTTCCATATAATSAAGCAAGAACTCAAACTAAGGACCAGGCAATAAAATTTTAGCTCATAACATTCAGAAGAAGCCATCCACACTATCTTACATGACTATTTCTTAATTTTAAATATGGAGACATTTTTAACCTATTAAATGAGTAACRTTCTTCAGCAATAATGCACATACTACCTTACTGCTAAATGTCTTACACCCATTACAAACTTGGTTTTAAATTGTTACTTTATTCACTTTCCTGAAATGTCTTTGCAGTTCATTTATRAATTTGCTTAAATATATGACTATCCAGAAGGTCAGTGTAAGCATAGTAGGAAAGTGTAACCAAAGTTGTCAATATATACATTGACCATTACATGAATTTGGTTTTGGTTTTAGGGTTTTTGTTTTGTTTTCTAACAAATATGCTTAGGGYTCTTTTCGTTTGTCTCATGGTTCTTGAGCCTTGAGGATATGTGAGTCATATTTTGATGACTTCTTCATTGTGCCTGGGCAAAAAATAATACTTTAAAAGAGAAAGGCAAGAAGAGAAAATGAATAAGAGTTGTTGGAAGAATGAAGAAGGAAAAGGTAGATATTGCTAGATGCTGCCAAATGATCAATGGTTCTCTTGTGTGCTCCCTACTTCTTATTTCAGCATCAGCTTCCAAGGCTGGAGTTCATCTATTCCCTCCTTTTTAATTTCCTTTCATTGGCCTCTGGATCCCCTGAATATGGCCTCTTTGCACACCAGTGCAGTTTTAAAATTGCAAGAAATTAAATTTCAATCTCTCATACAATGGCAAGTGCATCCTTTTCCACTCTGCTGGTGGAAGAAGAATAGCAGCTGCCCCACCAGAACAATGAAACTATTTTACAGCTCTCTGTGACTGGCTGTCAGTGAACAGCCATGCATAAATATAATATATGAAGATCCCAGGGGTGGCATTTTTCATCTCTTATCAGCTCTGCTGCACACCCCAGAATTTGATAGGACACATGGAAGGATGATAAAAGCTATTATCAATCAAAGTAGAAAYAATAAGAGCAATAGCAACAATATCAATAGATTTATGGAAAATCAGTGGCTATATTATTTTAATGCTCATTTAATTATTCATTTCCAAAATCTTTCCTCCTTGTGCTTAAGCTAAGGAGAAGGACAGCTAAGATAACCTTTCTGAATTTTTATATTAACCTGGCATATTAGTGTCCTTTGTATGCCTGAAAAAAGCTCAAAATATCTTCTAATTAATTAAAAAAAAAAAAAAAAAAAAAAAAAAAAAAAAAAAAAAAAAAAAAAAATTAAGTATAGTCCTCCAAAGTAACCTCTTGAGCCCTTTTAAACATCCACACCACAGTGCACATTCATATCTGGCTTTTCTCATTCCAAGTGTTTGCAAAGCAATAGTATACATAATCRTGCTAGAATCATTTTGGGACGTATTACCACTGTAGCAGTCTGGTAATCTGCCTGGTTCCATATCCTTTCTCAGGCAATGCTCTATGGCAGATGGTCCAGAGGAAAACATTAAATTCCCTATATTCCCTTGACACTTGTGTAATATTACTGCTTGAGGGGAAACTTAAGATTTTTCCAGTTGATAATCAACTCACATATATTGAAGCATGAAGACAGATAATTGTTATCCTACCCAGTATGACTGCAAATGACATTTTTATTATTGAGCCTTCCTTTCTGAATCCTACTGATTACTTCTTTTCAGTAATAACCTGTGACTGTGGGTTACCAGGGCTAACATGTTGCATTTGGTTTTTTTCTTGTGGATCTAAATGAGCAGGCTTCAGTTTCATTTTTCTTTGCATGTATTTCTGTTTTTTGCACACACAAGTAGTGCAAGTTGAAAATTCTAGCTGTCCTTGACTGTCTCTATAACATAAATAATTTAATATGCCTCCTTGGTATCCATTTTTACATCTTTACTCCTCAAAATAAAAAGGTTGTACAATTAAACAAATAATTCTATTCAAAAATCATGCTGTTAGATTTTTCCTTTCAAAACCACCAATAACCCAGATAGATCTAATCCATCTTTTTGCAATTGAAATGAAGCACTAAAGAGGACACARTAATAGCAGCAATGAATGCAAGCAGCTTGCTCTTTGTAAGTATACCTGACCATGGTCTTACACAAAGTTTCTCTTGAGTAAATCAGCAGCGCTGACTGTCAGCTTTGCATGTCAGAAGACTTGAGGGGGTTTAATTTCTTTGTTGGGGGCTTAAACCCACAACATAATCCCATTCAGAGAACCAGCAGCAGCTGCATAAACTGGTCACTGCAGTATTTTCAGAATGCTGTAAGCACTACTGCAAAGTACACAGAGAAATATGTAGTCAGTGACGGACATCCATGTCACTTGAAAACCTTTGGCAGCTGGAGGATCAGCCTCTCTCCTTCACTGTGGTGCTCGGGGAATTATTGGCAGAGATTTTCCTTGCACATTTCTGTGAGACCGTGTGGCTGCAATATCCTAAATATTGAAGGGATGGTAGGAGCACTTCCAACAAGTCTTTCCCCATCATAAATATATAATTGCTGGTCTCAGATTTCCACACATTGAAATCCATTAACTGGAAGAGATATCCCTTGAATAGATACTTCTGCAGAAAAATGAGTTCTTTGTGGACAAGGTCTGGTGGCATTTGTTCAGTAACAAGAAAGCTTTTTAAAGCTTGGTTATGCAAATTATTTCCTTCTGCTTAGAAGAGAAGAGAAAAAAAAAGTCCAAGATAGAATTGTGGGGCTTTTCTTACAGAAGTTAAATGGGAAACTAAAAAGCACAATTTCTATCTTTTAAAGTTTGGGGAAAAAATAAGGCCAGCTCTGAAGATCTTCTTGATGAATTGGGTAAGGAAATACGCATGACYCTCTAAAGGTAGGAGGCATAATGAAGCTCCATAGGGAATAGAAGTCAGTGGGGTGCACGGATGCTTCCTTTCAGAATGATACCAAGAGGGTTAATGTCTGGCCTGGTGATAAAAACCTGGCATCTGTTACAGAAAACACAATGAGCATTGTTGTCATTGAGAGAATGGCTCTGTTTTTCCTGGCATGAGTTACTGTTTGGAAGCTGTTTTAAAATAGAAAAGAAAAAAAAAAATCTCACTCTCCAAACTTAAAAATAAAGGGCTATGCCAGAATCATGTTCTTCACTGTGTTTCTAGGATGTGTTAGTGGTTCATTGTTCCGACATTATTTACATATCTTAAAAACAAATGCTGCTAAAATGCACAGCAAACTGTAAAAGCTTTGACACAGGAACCAACCACTGCGTTGAATGTGCATATGCTCAGAAACACAGGAAAAGTCTTCCCAAAGACCAGCTTCAGACAAAGGACACTAGTGCTGTTGAGCTTTCTCCTCTGTTAGTGGAGAGCCTGACTTCCCCAGTCCAAGATTCAGAGCACCCGAATTCAGAGCCTTTTCAGACTGCCACAAGACAAGGTTGTTTTTTTTCATTGGAGATTGGTCCATTAGAAAGTTTGTATTTGTAGGTTTCCCTTTCAAAGTGTKCCAAGTATGCCCTCTTCACTGTCTTCCCATTTTTATGTGAATTTTTCCAAAGATGAAGAGACCATGTTTGCACCTTCTCATCCACATACATTGACAAGAAATAAAATCTATCCATCTGCTATGACATAGCATCTCAGTTTACACCCAATTCTGCATTTACTGGTTTTGGTACCAAGGGCAGTGGAAGTAGACTGCAGGCTTTTAATTGTTCCTGCTAACTGGTTTGTCCCTATTCTATGCTATTTGCTGTCTAACAGCTAAATAAACACAACCGGGGGGAAAAGGTAAAACCAAACCATTCTTAACCCTTGATTTTGTTTTCATTGATTCCCCTGCTATGAAACTTCAGACCTAATGAAGAAAATAATCTCTGCAGGTGCAGAGAAGAAAAGATAGTATATATTATTCCCCAAATGCATCACTTGTTGCAGAACAATGCAAAGGATCCTGCTGGSTACGACCACAGCTCACCACGAAAACATTGTTTTCCTTCTCATGTCACACAATGCTGCCAGTCTGACTCAACTACAGAAAGCCAAAACTGCTCAAAAGATGCAACAAACTGCACCTTGTACATTTGGTCAACAGCCAGAAACACAGCAGCAGCCAGAGCTGTCCACGTTTCTTTTACTTCCTGGGAGGTGACAAAGGAATAGCAGTGAAAAGTGAGATTATGGTGAGATTCAGAGCACCAGAGAGTCTCTGCTACCACTCCTGGGTGCCACAGCAAGGCAGGTTTTGATGCAGGAAAGAGCTATCACACAGAATTATAGAAACATAGAATTGTTAAGTTTGGAAAAGACCTCTAAGGTCATCAAGTGCAACTGCCTACCCATCACCATTATGTATCACTAAACCATGCCCCCAAATGCCACATCCACATGCTTTTTTGAGCACTTTGTCACATATGACCTCTCCAACTGTAGCCAAGATACACCCATGTCTCTGGTAAACCTGTGCCTGATTCAGTCAGTTGCTCAGCTCAAACTATTTACATTTCAGAAAGCTGAGAACCATTCCATGGTTTGCTGAAGCCATCATCAAAAGCCTTACCTGGCTTCCATATCGCCTCATTGAGAAGCAGAACAGCGGGCCTGATGGGTGAGTCAGGAAAAGTTCACTGCATCTCTTCACAACTGGAAAATACACTTTTAATTTTCTGTAGAGTTAAAACTGAAATTACAACCAAACAAGTTGTGGGAGAAAGCAAACAAAAAATACATCAAGAAAACTGATTCAAAAAACAAAACAAGCAAATAAAAAAAAAATACAAATACACCCCAAAAGTTTCCTTAGGTTTCCTACAATGATATCTTGCAGATAATAAATTTCATTAAGCTGTGATGCATTAGACAGCACAAATAAGTCACACTGTGGCAGAGAGCCTAGTTCAAATTGGTCCAGTTCTTCAAAAATAACTTTTAAAGCCAGGAAGTTCAGAATTATGATTAAATATGTGGGAAATTTCAAATGTCATCTGCTTCATCCATTTTTAAACGTGCAGGAAGCATAAAAAACCTTGGTAACCTCGAACCTCTGGTTTCACCAGCATGGTGCCACAGGAGGCACACTTCAGTCCTTTAGCTGAATGGTGCATAGATACCTAAATGTGTTTTCAACAGTTTGGATTCATCTGCAGATTCTCATCTCTGGTCACCTTCACTTGACTCTGGAAACAAGGAGTCAATTCCCTCCCACTCCATCCCATAACCTCTGCCACAAAAGCCAATCCACATTTCAGTAGCAGCAGAGAACTGCCAGGAAAAAAAAGTTTGTCACTGCATAATCTGAAATTTAACAGAAAAAAAANAAAAAAAAAAAAAAGAAAAATCAAACAAACAAACAAAAAAATCAATCAAACAAACAAACATTAAAAATACACCCATTTTCATTCCTGCCTCTCAACAGAAAAAGAAATTACAGCCACCAACTCTGCTGCTGGGAATCCCACAAACTGGGATACCTTTTTGCTCCAGTTTAAGCTGCAAACCATTTTGATCAGCATTCTCCAGTTCCAGAGGCAAAAAATCTTTCTGAAAGGGAGCCACAGGCATCCTCTCATTGAGAATCCTACTGCTCTGAGATGAGCCATCAGCAATACAGAGCATTCTGAAAAATATTTTAAAATTACTCCTGTTATTGTCATTAAGAAAAGAAAAAAGTTGAGAGAGAAGAAACTTTTGTTCTCCATATAAGTTCATGCTTAAGATGGCTCACAATAGCCTTACACAGGTGGCCAGGACAAAATGAATGCACAGCATGTGTTTAAGCTCAGGGCCATGAGACCTCACCTGAACCACACACAAAGGCAGCACGAGCAAAGTCTCCATCACCACCCAACACTTTCTCAAAGATGATTCCTGCAAGACTCTGATTTTGTTTCTGTAAGCCCTCTACCAGCAGAAGAAAAGGCCATTGATACCCATGGACGATCACACATGGGATTCTCTTAGTGTGGGTGTTTATGGTCCACCAGAGAWAATGTCTTAAATTGCCTCTTTCTCTGGGAGCACCTTGGGCTGCATTGGGTCTGCCAGACCAAAAACATTCTTCTTGGCTGTGGGATTGTGTATTATCAAATAGACATTAAATACTCTCCTGGGCCATAAGTAATCCCTCATATGAAGACAAAAAGCAGCTTGAAGCCATATTAATATCCCTGTAATGTCTCCTACACCTTGGGAAGTTCCTTGTTTGAACTCAGCCTCCCAGATGTGATGGCGTTAAATTTTGCTGCTGGTGAGATAACCCAGAGGGAATTGTTTAGAAGTGTCTCTGTGTTTTTTTTTGATGCTGTTCTCCTTTATTTCTCTTCTTTTTTTTTTTTTTTTTTTTTTTTTTTTTTTTTTTTTTTTTTTTTTTTTTTTTTTTTTTTTTTTTTTTTTTTTTTTTTTTTTTTACTCTTGAGGAAGGATTTGTGTGACTGTGTAAGTGATTGAAGCACCATTTTCTCAGTCTTACCCAATCATTTCTTCCTACAGTGTTCCATCCTTTCTTCCTGTGACTCTTCCCTTTGTGACAAAAGCACTGCTAATTGCTTAGATTAGCCTCAAATCCAGGATCAGAGGTTTGGTTCTCAGATTTTTTGCTCTTCAGGCATTTTCTTTCCTCTTCAGGCATTTTCTTTCCTTTCTCTAATTATGAGAAATTTGCAAAACCACTAACTACAGGATTGAATTGATTTTTTTTGTCTGTAAATTGAGGGAAAAGGCTAATTGGGGATGTTCCTAGTTGACTTTATCTCCTGTTTTGAGTGGTTGATATATTTCCCTGTATCATTAAAAACACAGCGATGGTTTTCAAGAGTGTTTACAGACACCTACAGCTGGAAGCCACACTACTGAGAAAGGAAAGGCTGCCACTGTGTCACTTTCACCATTCACACGAGTGATAAAACTGAGCCACTCCTGGCACATGGTCTGTTTATACACATTTGCTACGTTAAATGAAAAGCCATGTTGTRTTCCTTGTCTATCAAAAATCTGTACATGCATTCAAAGTGGACAGCTGGCATTTTGAAAAGCTGTTCTGGGCTTTACAGAAAAAAAAAATTATACTTAACTGGCATGAGAGGCCTCCATTTCAAACATTGACAGACAATGCTTTTGACAGTGCTTTGTTCCTCAGGGCAGCAAGGCCTGGGAGGTCCCTGTGCACTTCCCAACCAAGTTCAGCCCTATTTTCTCAGCTTTTATCAGATTATCAAGAAAAAAAAAATAAATCAAAAAAACCTTTAAAAAATGAGGGAGGGAGCAGAGGTATAATTTTCTATATTGTTATAATTTATTTTAATAGGTATTTTAAATATGTGTTCACTCCTTTTTCTCCTTTGCAAATAAAGTTCATCCATGATTCAGTTTGGTCAGCAAAACTTTGTAAATGCATTGCAATTTGAATAACTGTTTAACATTACAGCTTGCCATGCAGKGTTAAAACAACCCCAGGTGTTTTTTTCCTAGAATAAACAGAGTTACACTGAGAGTCAGCCTGTGGAGTGGAAACTGTGTGCATGAAAGCAGCTATTACTAATGATGTACGTAAAACTTTCAGCCAAGGTAAAGAACTTAATGACATGGGGGGTGGCAAGGACGAAGCTAGATAAAAGCACAGCTTTTCACAGCATTGTATTGGAGCTGTTTTTCTTATGTACAACCACTGCAGAGCTTTCTCTTCCCTTAGCAGAAGCCAATCAAAAAATTGCAAAACTGGCAGATGACTAAGGCATCCTTAAAAACAAGCAGCATACCATGTGCTGTGTCTGCATCAGCTAATTAAAACAAGGCTGAAAGAATCAGCAGCAGATACAATATGTGGTTTGTTTTTATGCAAGTTGGATTTATTTGTGTTTAAGCTTACAGATAAACAATTCATGATACAAGAAACTGCTTGCATGTTGTTCTTCTCATGTGATATTTTGTTTCTTGAAAGCTTCTCAAGAGTAACAAAAAAAAAAGCCCTTCCTATAGTTACATTTTATCATCAAAGACAATGGGAGTGAAAAATTATGCTTTACTCACCCACACACTGAAGTAAATTGTATGTCATTCCTGCACCCTGATTGGCTGAAGATTGCAAAGGATAGATATATTTTCTTTCTTCTTTTTTTTTGTTTCTTATTTTTAGTAATTTTAAGACCCTCTTTCCTTGGTTTCCCCATTTATCCATCTAAAACTTCTAATGGGATTTTACCAATGGTGTTTCGCAACACTCCCAGACTATGAGAATGATATTTTTTCTTTTATTTCTGTTACACAGATTTTTTGGTTTTTAGAACAAAAATTAAGCATCTTTTTCTGGTTTTGACTTTTGAGGCAGTGAGGAAGAAAAGCATTGAACAAACACATGGCATTAAAGCAATAAAATATCAAGTTAATTTCCTCTATTTTAAGCTGGTTATTTTTTCGACTTTGGTCACACACAGAAGCATTTAAATGCTAAGAAGCATTTAAAATTATGCAAATTATTTTTAAAAGGGTTGCTCCACAAGCCACAGCTTCATCTGCCACTCTTCCACTAGGGAATCATTTTTCCTCCTCAACCCCCACTTTCAAGTYCTAAGGCCTAGTGTAACTATGTAAACTTTTTTGTTTCCAGAAGGCATGAAGATAAACCATGCATGAATCAATACATGAATGAATCAGCCTCTGGTGTAGCTTACTAATGTACTCATCATTTATATCCTTGCATAATTTACAGAAACTGAAACTGTAGCTGGGCTTTGCATTAAGCTGACTGTGGCTTGTTTACACAGTCCAATGCGGTTCCATGTTCCAAAAGACCTAATTTGTAGGGATTTCTCAAGCAGGATGAAAACACCTCAAGTTTTGTGCTAAACAGATATGGTTAAGAACCAAGGTATCCCAGCATTTTGAGACAAAGCTTAGTAGGATCACCAGCCTCTTGGCTTTACTACATGGTCTGATTTAATTCAAAGGGAGTTTTGGCTCCAGGTTCCTGTAATGCACTGAGACCTCCCCCAGCCAGCTCCTGGGGTTGTCCCTCAGATAGCCAGGATTCAGTTTCTGGGACCACCACTGCCTAAGCAGCTGACTTTTGGATCTTAAATTCAATTTTCCTCTGTCACCAACCTTAAAGAGAACAGATTTGAAGCCACAAAAGCAGTCACAGTAATTATTCCCAGTATTTTTTGAAAACTCCCTTATTATCAGYGTGTTCCCTTCACCTTTCTGTATCCTCTCCTGACATTTATCACAGGGACAAGGACTAACGGGAGCACAAGGCCTGCCAGATTCCCCAAGAATGCTCCTCAGGGGAATGGTATTCTTTCTCCATTCATTCCCCCTCCTCACAAATACACCCTACAGTTGTCCCAGGCACCAGTGGAAACAAGGGGCCCTTACAGACTCCCCGCTCCCACAGTCTCTGTCTTATTTTGGATTTCATCGGCCTTTGGTCTGGAAACTGTTTCTATCATCTCTCTTGGTTGCATTGTCCCAGGGATACATCTTTTATATCCTGAATGTTGAAAGATTCCAGGGTTGAATTTATGTCTCTCTTGAGTACTCATTTGAAGTGCTCAGATTTAGGAGTTACAATTACAAAACAGTAGAAGCCTATMTGTGACGAAAGACTTTTCTGGATTGGAGGGATATTTTCACTTTGATTGTAACTGTCAAAGGGGATTTCACAGCTATCCACATTACATCTCACCCATGCAGCTGACATCAGAGAGACCTTTGCAGCTTGAGTAAAAGGAGACTTGGGGAGATTCATTATCCAGTTTTGTACAGAGAAGGAACTGAAAATGTATTTTCAGAAGCAGTCTAGAGCTCCACATTTAGTAACACCTATATTTAACAAAAAACACTGAAGCGTGGCCTTAATGAATTATGGTTATTTCCTAAAGGCACAGATTAAAGGTTTGGTTCTGTGAGAGTCAGAAATCTCAAAACAGCCATGTCCCATTAACACAGAACATCAAACATCACAGGCCCATTTTTAGTTCAGCTGAAGGCTGAGGATTTACATCATTGACAGCATATGGTCATATACAGCCAGGAAATTAATAACTCTGCTTGAACCAAAGTGAGCAAGGTCGCAATAAAAACATATCCTGCAAAGGGATCTGGGAAGGGAAATGGTAGGAAAGTTCAGCTCACATGAGAATAACAAAGCTTGTCTCACTCTAGACCCCGCTCCTCTGCAAAACACAGTGCAGGAAAGGGCCCAAACCTTAAACCTGAAAAATATTTCCAGGCCACTGACTCGGTTTGTGTTACATTCTGTACCCAGGGTGCCAAGAGGGCACCAAAAGATCCTCCTTATCCTGAGAAGCCTGGCTTCTGAGCAGAGCCCAGTCCTGGACTGCAGGATGCTGATGAACATGTTTGGCTTGTCACTAATGAGTAAGTTTTGCTTGTCAGTCACCTAAATGGCGATGGTAACTAAGAGGTCGAGACTGCTTGCTCTATGTCTGCTTGTGAAGTAAGAAACTACATATTTTATTTGGCTAAGTCAGGCACTGGTATTTGTTCAGTTTTTGGTATTTGTTTCTGTAACCATAGATGGATTTTGGAAGCAGTTAAACAACAACCAAGCACAGAAAGTCTGGGAGACAGCACAAAAGCAAGCACTCTCTTGGTATTTCTGATATTTCCAAAGAGAAACAAACACAGCAAAAAACCCTGTGTGTCCTTTATAATACACTATAATGCAATGAGAAAAAACATAAATTCTTGCTTGGTTTGGTTTGGTTTGGTTTGGTTTGGTTTGGTTTGGTTTGGTTTGGTTTGGTTTGGTTTGGTTTGGTTTGGTTTGGTT